GCTGGTTAGGAAACTTGAAATGGTTTTTGTGGAAAATGCAAAAATCTCTGATCTCACAGATCAGCAAAGAAGGGCTATTTCAGTGAATTCATACGGCCATACTAATCACCCCGGGGCTTGTGGAAATCTTTACCTTGGGTATGTTAGTCTGGGACTTGAGGATTTTCTTTTCCCTCCATTAGTGTGGGATACCCAAATAGTCCCATTTCCTCTGGTGGCATATGGGGACCTCACTCATACCTTTGGTTTGCAGTTACTGCCTGCCAGAACTAAACACATCTGCTTCTTACAACCCTCCCTTTTTTCCCTGCCCCCCTCATGTCTTGCTGGTTTCTCTAAAAAAATCCATTCTCTCATCAGGTGGGGACCCAAGAAGTTGAGGGCAGTTGAGGGGTACACTAGCTCAGTACAGATGTGGTTGCTGCTTTTGGTATTATGGATATTGCCACATATATGTGCTAGTGCATCACCGTGAATTCTGGGCTAGTGATGCTCCTGCATGTGCAGTTCTGGCTGCTGTTGTGTGCCTGGATCCTTCCTGACTAGTTCATTAGTTTTAAGTGTGTTTTAACTGACAGCATGGAAGATTTCCAGGAAGCCTAGTTCTTCAGGGATTTTTCTGCCATTTTAATCTACAGAAAGTATCCTGGAAACATGCCCAGGCTGGAATGAACACAGGTCCAGAAAAGCAATATCCAGCTTTCTGAATGACTTGTTTCTGTTGGAAAGGGCTTGCATGTGGGGCCAAGTCTTGTCCCTCACCCCTTCTCTAAAAAGGGGGGACAGGAGGGGAGTTCCTCCTTGCTCAACCTGTACACTGTTCTCAGAGGTGGGTGTTTGTGGGTTTGCTTGGCCCCCCTGTTGTAGCCCTTTGTCCATTCCTCATTATCTTGTCCTTTCCTTCTCTCCTTTGTGTCAGATCATGGAGATGTCAGCCAAAGGAATCAAACCAGTCACACTGGAGCTGGGGGGCAAATCCCCCCTCATCATCTTCTCTGATTGTGTCTTGGAGAATGCCGTGAAAGGAGCTCTCATGGCCAATTTCCTCACCCAGGGTGAGGTGCGTGCCTCTGTGGGGGTGGGAACATTCACCTGTTCATTTCCTACTCATGGGATAAGCTTTGGGGAGGGGAATAGGCAGAAAAGATTGAGGAGTTAGATTGTTCCCATTCTTATCTCTGTCCTACAGATAATGTCCTGGTGGACAATGCCATCACATTTTCAAGTTATTTTTACTCCTTTCCTGTAACAAGGAACCTGCCTTAGACAGCAGTACATGTAATGAAACATGCCTGTGAAGCTATTCACTGGGTCTCAAGAGAGCCACCCTGTTACTGGTGGCATATCACATGAGTCCTGCTAGTGGTGAAAATAATGCTAGAAGGCAAAGTTTGGGCTGGAATGCTTGCTTCCATGACACCTTTCAGTTCCACAGTCAGTTGCCCACAGAAACTGTGTTTCTCAGGAGTGGAGCTGATATCACTGTAGGCTCATCTGCTGGCTGGTATTTTACATAGACCAGCCATTCCCACTCTTTGCCCCTTGGGGTCTGAGCCACAGTGGGGCAGTCAGAGCAGATTGCTCTGGTTCCCCCTTGCAGTCTTTTTAAATTCTGTTATCCTTCAAGTCTGCTGTAGCAAATCTGCAGTACTGCAAGGCTTTCCTTGCTGACCTCCTGCCAGATTCTGCAAGATTTACTTTACACCCTGTCTGACACAGGCTCCAGGAGCATGTCGGCTTTCTGTAGCTCCTGGCTGCATAATTACTAAATTGCTGTGGTGTCTCTTGATGGCAAGTCTGGGGTTTGAACAGCCAGCTTGGGTTATATCTCATGCTTCTGGCTGTATAGGCCTTCACCACTTGATGGTGCTAAGACCACTAAAAATCCTTGCTTGCGATATGCTTTGTGGTAAGAAAGTGAATGGAGACAATAGGGACAGCCCCAGAGTTGGAAGGGTTCCAGGGCTGTTACAGCCTCTGTAATCAGTCACGCTGACAGTAAGCTGCAGTTTTACTTCTGGGCTGTACAAGGGTGAACCAGCAGGGGAGGAAGCCCAAATCTTTCAGATTCCTCCCAGTATGGGTGGGGAAAGATAGTTGGGGTGTTTTTTTTTTAATCTAGTAGCCACATTAATAATTTTAGCAACCAGTTGCCAAATTCCATTTCTAGAAGATACCAATCTAAATGACACAGATGGTGGCTTGTGCTTGTCAGGTGCATGGGATAATATGCTGTATGGGAGGGTTGTAGTATGTTTTACACCCCTCTGATCCCCCAGAGAGCCTTATGCTGCATTGGATGTTCCCCCACTCAGGTTTGTTGCAATGGCACTCGAGTGTTTGTGCAGAGGGAGATCCTGGACGCCTTCACAAAGGAAGTGGTGAAACGCACACAGAAGATTAAAATTGGAGACCCGCTTCTGGAAGACACAAGGATGGGGGCTCTCATTAGCCAGCCCCACCTGGAGCGAGTCCAGGGATTCATTAAGCAGGCAAAGGAGCAGGTGAGAGCACCAAACTGTCTTGGATTGAATGGAATTTGTTTTAAAGTGTCTTGACCTTTTGGAGGAGGGACTTCCACCTTCCTCTGCCACTCTTGTAATAAACAAGTGGCATGCTTCTTCCCCCTCCCTTCCCCCTTGCCTTCTGGAGTAAAGCCCTTTTCTGCTGTAGCTGCACTGGTGATCCTAAGAGAGGGCTACATGCTTTAGGGATGAAAAGTGACATGATGACTAGACGGTGATTCTGAGATGCAGGACCTCAAAGTACTACCCAGGGTTAGGGGATCATGGGTTAATTTGCATTTTAACACACAAAGCTGAGATTCAAACTCCAGGCTTGTTTGATGTATTTATGGGACATATATAGATGCTGCAGAATCTGGGCATTTTATTTTTAAAAAATGTGCTCATGCTTGCAAAAAAAAACCCCTTCAGATGTGAGAGGCTAACTGCTACAGTGACACATTGCAAAGTCAGCAGGTAGTACCGCTGGGAGTGGTGAAGTTCCCAGCCTCTTTGCTCTGAGTTAGTCATTGCTAGTGCTGTTTAATGACTGATGTATTTAAACAAATAGAGTGAGGAATAGAATGAGTAAAGACTGGACTGGGGAGAACAGGAGGTTGGTTAAGACAGGAGATTGTTACATACAGGCCAGATTCTACCCTTGATCTTTGTGCAGGCTTCCTGTGGGTCCCACTGGGAGTTTTTTACTGTGGGTTGACTGAAAAAGTTTATCTAAATATGTACTATGGACCGAAATTAAGTTAAATTTGGCCTTCTACACATAGGAGTCTGGTAGGCCTTGGCTAAAGGTTAACTGTAGCTCTCTTTTTTTTTTAATGTTAGGCCAGTAACAGATCATGTGAGCAGATTGAATTACAGCTCACTGAGCTCTCAAAACAAAGCAGTGAGAAACACATTCTTCCTGCCAAGTGCCAGGTTCAGGACTCTGCATTAGCCTTTCTGCCTATTTACAAGGGGCTGCAGCTCCTGGCTGTACCAGACATGTTAGCAATATCAGTGCCGTTCTCCTGTTGCATACAAAGCCCTGAACTTGGGCCTGAATGTGAGCCCAAGCTTCTGAATGGGAAACAGATAAACCACATTTATGCAGAATAAGGCCTCCTTATCCCTGGGAAGTTACTGATTCTGTAGCTAGAGTGACATGGTCTGGTCTCTAGCAGCTCTGAAAGGGTGTAGGGAGAGTAGTTTCTGGTCTGTTAGCCTCCTAAACAACCAGGAACTTCACTGTGCAGCTCTTACCAAAATAGACTTGACTTTTTTGCCATTCCCTCCCTCCAGTAGGCTCATGGGGATGTTGGATTCCAAGATTATAAGGCAGTCTGGCTTTTGCCTCACTCTTAAATGCCCCATCAGGAGGCCAGATCCTGAGCAAGCATGAAGGCATGGCACAGGGATAATAATACAAGTGAGAATGGTGAAAGAAGTGACATGAATGTGTTGGCTGTGGCTGCTGCTGGCTGACGGGCACATCAAGGCTCTGTGCAGACTCTTGGACATGCCTGCTTATCTTCTGGTTTGGCTTATTTCCAGGGGGCAAAAGTGCTATGCGGTGGTGATCTGTATATTCCAGATGATCCCAAACTGAAGAATGGATACTACATGCAACCCTGTGTTCTAGGTATGGTTTCTTATCTCCTTGTTGGTACTATTTTATGAATAGGTTAATCCTAACAAATCTCTTGTGTATCTGGTGATAGCTGGAACAGTCTGATAGCTGATTTCTAGGTAGCAGTGTAGCTGTCAGCCCAGCCTAACCTCTGAGTATTTAAGCCACTTCCTAGATGGGTTCTGCAGCCCACACTGATGCAGCTTGTACTTGTGCTAGGCTAAAGTTAGCTCAGGGTTGTCTACACAAGTGGCATTACACTCCTTGAGTGCAATGCATATATATTCTGAAGAGTACAACCATTTGGAACACTCAAACTGCAAAGGAACATGCCAGATTTAAATTAGTGGTATATGTGCCTAACAATAGACAATATTTGATGATTCAGAGGGAGATGCATAAACCCCCCAGAAAGGACAACTGCAAGACAATCTGTTCAGAAGGTGACATTTTCACCCTAATCTGGGCAATCAGTGGTTGCTTTACATTAGAAGCCTGAATGTTGATACCCACTTGAGAAGATGTAGCCAAGTAGTGTGGCTGTTCAAAAAAAGGTCACTTCTTCTTTATTCTTGAGTTCTTTGAATATTTTTGAGCATCTTACTTTCCTGTCTAGTGAAAGTGAGTGCATCAGGCAAATCACAGACAATATTTAAAAAAAAGATATTGTTTTCCTTTTTTTTCTTTTTTTAAATGGAGAAGCTCCCCTGGTGGTACCGAGTGCCCAGTCTTCTCTTCACTGTTTGTTTGGTACACCTTTTCATTGTGTCTCTTATTTGCCCCCTCTTTTAACTGAATAGCTCCCTCATCTCAGTTTCTTGCTTTCTAATGCAATTAGACTTTGTGTCTGCTGTTGGTTTTGTGTAGGGGTGGCCTGTTCTGACTACTCTAGTAGAGGGTATACTTTTCATACAGTGTAGCAGTATTTTCATTATCTTATCTTATTCTTTATACTTCTTAGCATCTTGCTTCATTGTTGGCCATTGCACTCAGAATAGATTCTCTGAGCTGTCCCTGGTGGTGCCTGAAGGGAGGAGGGTGGGTAATTCAGACTACCCTTTTTAACTTGCCTTCACTATCCACTTGCCCAATTTTACTTAAAAAATTCTTGAAGCTCTTTGCAACACCCAATGAACTTACCATTCCCTGGTAAACTTTAAAGTGAGGAACTGGAAATATGAACAGCCGCTGAGGGCTTTGAATAGTGGGGTATATACCTGTTCCTCCTCTTATGAGGACAGAACCAGAATCAAAGTGCAGTCTGGTGAGGATTGATCTTTACCCCTCAAACCTGCAAGAGTTAGGACATAATAAAGGTGAACAGCATTCAAACTTGCAACCCTCAATTTTGTTAATATATCTTATTACTGGTTGGCAGTGCCCTCCCACACCCCTTTAGCCCTTGGCCTCTCACACACTTACACCAATACCTTTTCAATACCAGCCTGCACATGCAGGGAGTATTGTCCTGGGTAATAGTTTTAGGTTAAAGTTCAGTACAAGAGTGGACTTTCATAGGACACAATGGATGGTATGTGGTTTTCTAGACGGAAGGGATGCAGCCTTTCTGCTCATTTGGTGTTTGGCAGAATGACTGATCAGAGGATGGTACAAAAGCAAATGCTTGTACTGCACTGAAGACTGCACCTACCATGATCCCTTTCCACTCTGCATTGTGCTCCTCAACTTCTAGTTTGGCTAGTAGAATGTCACTTAACAGATCTTCAGTCAACACAGCAGGTTATGGTGGGGCAGTATTTAAGTACAGAGAGTTCCCCTCTACAGATGCTTTCACTGAAATTTTGTAATGTTTTGCAGGGAACTGCAGAGATGATATGACATGCGTGAAAGAGGAGATCTTTGGACCTGTAATGTCCATCCTACCATTTGACACTGAGGAGGAAGCTGTAGAGAGAGCCAATAACACCCCATTTGGGCTTGCGGGTGGTGTCTTCACCAGGTACAGATAGGGAGCAGTGTCAGTTGTAGAAATGGACTAATGGTAAAGGAAGCCATTTACTGAATCAATTGCCTTCAGGGCTTGGTGTTCCACTTAGAGTGCACAATCTGAGCCACAAGTGGCTTTCTGTAATAGCTACATGGAACAGTATGGTAGTTCCATTCATGCTTTATCCTATTTTTTCTGGTGCTATCATTTGTATTGTAATTGAATCTAAAAGGTTCAGCCAAGATTGGGGCCCTGCCATTATTAGTCATTTTGTAAACCTGCGGTAGGGAAGAGCTCCTGCTTCAGAGAATTTGCAGTGTAAAAAAAACAAGTCTAACAAGAAATGTATCTTGGCAGAAGTGCAGGTCTTGTAAGTAATAAGGCAATTTCTTCTAGTTTGCCCCTAACATAACAACCCACCTCCCAGCTGTCACTTGAATGTCTTCAGTCCTTGCTCAGCCTGAGTATTCTCTTTCCTTGCCGTGCAAAGATGGTTTGCTTCCTTCTGGGCGTAGGGCAGGGAGGAGCAGATGATGAGCCAGAGCTGGCCCTTGGTGGTTTCTCTGATTGTGGTGGAAAGGATGGAGACAGGTGGCCCATGTAACCCCAGCTTGCTGCCCTGGGTCTAGTGGCTATAGGTCAAGTACAACCCATGAGCAAAGACTGGGTGCTGTGTGTAAAGAATCCCAAAACACTGCATGCTGGTTGGGGGCTAAATCTGCATTCTCTTTTCTATATGGTATGTGCGGACATGGGGAAGGAAATGGCTGCCTGTGGGACTCAAGCACCCAGTTCTTGAGCTGTGTGCAGAGGTGTGGGGAGTTGGCATAAGAAGGGATGGCTCTTGCTGAACTGCTGCTGTCTCCTGCAGGGATATCCAGCGGGCTCACAGGGTGGTAGCTGCTCTCCAGGCTGGTATGTGCTTCATTAATAACTACAACATCAGCCCAGTGGAGCTGCCATTTGGAGGATACAAGATGTCAGGTGAGCTTTGTTTTGGCTTCTTCTCTAAACCTGCAGAGATAAGAATGTTGGTGATAGGATGGAGTGGTATCCATCCTTATAGGTTGAGGTAGATAGGATATCTCTGCCCTTGGAAAGCCAAAAGTGCCTGGTTACTACTGTTCTGAGGGCTCCGCACTGGATTTCCCAGTACCACAGTTACATGTGAATGGAGAGACTATCAAGTGGGCTATAAATTTGCAAGCAGAAGCAGCAAGGGAAATTTAAACTACATAGCTTGGCTCCCAGGTCAGAACTGCCCTCAGTTAATCTTTATCATAGGGGTAATTTGAAATGCTGTTAATGCAGGAATGCTGCTGTATTCCCTTCAGGGCTGGGGCGAGGCTTAGTATTCTGATCCCTTGGCTGGTTACAAGGATTTGTTCCAGGGAGATGAGTAAACTCCATCCACTGCCAGCACACCTATTTATCTCACCCTTGGATCTGCTGTTTTGTCCTTCACAGGGTTTGGCAGAGAGAATGGCAAAGCAGCAATGGAGTATTACTCGCAGCTGAAAACCGTCTGTGTGGAGATGGGGGATGTGGAGTCTGCATTCTAATGGCCTCAGGCCTTGCTGGGATGCAACAGACCCTTCTAGTCTGTCAGCCAGTGACCTGCAGTAGTTTTCACATGGTAGTAATAAAAGTACCCTGAATATTAGGTAACGAGTGCCAAGGGGGGAAGAGTGGGGGAATATGTTGCAGTCCCACAAGCAGTGAGGACTTAGGCTTCTGGCTATGTCACTTTTCACAGTCTGCAGGGGAGACTGACACATACAATGGCACATGATTCAATACCAGCTTCTGTTGAAGCATTCACGCTACACAAAAGGGCTATAACCATGAGAGTTCCTGATTGAATACTGGGATGGGCCTAGGCCCTTTCCTGTATGGTTTGCCATACCCAGGAGCTGAGCTGAGAGAAGACCGTGTCAGCTACCCCAAACTCATTCTCTTCTGTTTGGGCTCACTTTAAAAAAGCATTACTGCAATTAATGCACACAGACATTTAATGGTAGAAGAATTGTCCCAGGAGCAGTAGAAGTAGAACTTACAGCCCACTCTATTTTCTATATTAAGCTCCCTTAGCTTGACAAGGCTAGAAGCTTCACACCAGGTTTTGAACCTAAGCTGGCTGTTGCTACGTGCATTGGTCACTTGAAGAGGCCTGACTGACACCATCCAGCACGTATGTAGTGTTTAATGATGCCAAGCAGCTGAGATGCTGCTGCATCACCTCCATCAGAATGAATATTGATGCTGAGTTGTTTGACACCCCCATGCTCCCCCTCCTTCCCCTTAAATAGCCTGCTTATTGCTGTTTGTATACTTTCAGAAATCACTCTAAAACAAGTGTCTGACTCCTTATTTAGGAAACAAGTAAAAGTCCAGACACAGCTTTTGAGACCTGTTTTGTGCAAGTATGGGAGACACCTGAAGGCATTTTCTTTGCCCTCTAAGGCAAGGGCAGGATCAATGTTAAAGGCATCCTCTGCAAGGCATACTTTTAGTACTAGTTGAAACTGTCCAGAAAGTGTGGAGAAGGTCTGTGTTAGAATTACTGGCTGCCTTACCTATAATGAGTGTAAGCAGCTTTCTGATTCATAGAGGCTAGCTTGTGAGCTGTATGGGACTGAAAGTCAGGTTTAGATTGGACTTTACTAGAGGTTGTGTTTCATCCTGTTATCAAAGTCAGAGTTTGCCTAGCTGGCATTTCAAGAGTTAACTCAAAAGCAAATCTCACCCACACCAGAGCTGCTGTCCAGATTACAGAGTGTAAATAAAGTCTCAGTTGCCAGTAGGATCTTTTAAAACAAAGCAATGATCGCAAATTTAAGAAGTAAAGCTGCAGAGTGTGGAGTACAGTAAGCTGCTCACCCGAGCTGGCTGGCTGTCTTCTATTTTAGACAATAGAAGGCAATTGCTGCAAGAATTCAGATCAAACTGTATAACCAGAAGTGATGAGGAAAGCTTAAAAGGTAGCCAGAGTCTGTGCAGCTGAAGAGGTGAACCAGACACAGGTAGTAACACCAATGAGTTATTTGGAGTGCTGCATACATTTAAGTAGGAAGAAAGATATAAATGTAAATTCTCAATTTAAGATGACAGAACTTCTGCATAAGGCCTCTATTTTTAAATTTTGGCATAGGCTTCAGCTCGTGTATAAGATGCATAACTGGATGAGCTGAAATGGTATAGGGCAGAGATGTCAAACATACAGTTTGTGGGCTGGATGTCATGCAGAGTTCCCAGAGGGGCCAGGAATTCAGGGGCAGGCCTGCTGCTGAAATCCAGGATGCAGAGCCCTGTTGAGGATGTGTGTGGGCAGCAGGGGGCAAGCAATGGCTGTGTTAACTGCCACATCCAGATCTGGCCTGTATGGAGCCCCACAGTCTGGATCTGGCCCTGAGGGCCAAGTGAGTTTGACACCCCTGGTACAGGGAAGATATCTAGGGGAACAAGTTCTAGGTTGTCATCTATTAAGGGCATGAGGCCTTTTCAGTAAAAGAGTAATGCTGAAGGTGCT